CACCCCGAGCTTTTGAGAAAATGGAGCTGTTTGAGTCTTGTCTTCTTCTTTTGTATAACTATTTGGTTTTAGTATACAATGATGAAACACATGTAAATACTTATACTTTTTAAATACAGTGGTTGTTTGTACTCTAATTACTATAATGCATGTGTTGTGATACTACAAATAAAGTCATCCACCCCGGACGTTTCCGCCGTTTGGTTTTGGGGTGTGACAGATTGGTATCAGAGCATTGTTTATAGTGAACTCAGTTATCAATCCATAAAAGATATACAAACTATAAATACATTTGGGGCTAAGAGCTCTGACTACAAGGATACTTTCTAAAAATTTAAGTATTTTTACAAGAAGTATACTAACACTCATACCTACAATTACAGTATCACAGCCATAAGAACTTAAAAGTATTTGAGTGTTGAACATTATAGTCAAACCTGGGCAGTTATGTAATCATATCTGGGATTAATATAGTCTGGTCAACTATATTGATTTGAGATATGACCAACATGTGTTTGGGAGTGATAGTAGTGTTGCGACATGTCTAAAACTTACTAACCATACATATTTAGAAGAATTGTAGAACAGAACATAAAGATTAAAATACTATAGGGGTATTTTAGGCACTATATACTAATAACAAACAGGTGAAAACAAAAGAACCATTGAGGGTAGAATTATAAATATTAAGGGTATATTACAGTTATATATAATTAAAGTTATATAGACTTAGAATATGTGATCTAGCTTCATTTCTTGTTCCTTGTTTGGTTGTGGATTTAGAGCCAGGTCATTTAATCGAAGGTCGATTATACCCAAGCTATATATAATTAGTATACACTTTATAGTTATAGTAATACCTAGAACAAGTCATACAGAATACATTACTTGTTAATTGTAAGTCTCACTCGTAGAAACTTGTATCTTTAATCTATCGTTACTAACTATATTTTATATCTCTTACCCCTATTCTCGCTTAGATAACAATGGTTGGAGTTCATCTACCCGGAGACCCGTACTTTCCCGGTCAAGGACAAGATGGAGAACCAGAAGAGAATCATGAAATTCCCTTAGATGATGATTTTGCAGAAAATTTTCCTGAAGACACTGTCAGAAGCCTATAATCCACCACCAGTTGCCCAGAATCCTAATCCACGACAAAATTTCCAAGGTTCGACGCCTTCGTGGGCTGAGAATTTAGGTAGGTGGTGCCGAGAGCAAGGTCAACCCTTACCCTACAACGGAGACCGAAGCTTCTACAACATAAGTGAGGGAGGATCTGCAGACAGAGTTCTTCCTATTTTGGTTCGCCGAGTGGCTCGAAATGTTGAGCTAGGAGTGACAGCCATTCAGCAAACCATAGAGTTAGATGCTGACACAAATGCCAATACGGATAGTATTCGCAATCTTGAACTTGCTCATAACAGAGCAATGAGAGACAATGAGGCCTTGCTGCAAGAGTTAGTTGTAACTCGAGCTGAAGTCATAGAGCTCCGAGCACGCCAAACAGTGTATGAAAGACATCTGCTTGATGTGGAGCGTCAGCTGGCTGAGTTGAGGGTTCGTCTGAGTGATGCCCATCGCCAGTAGGAGATGCTCTACTTATCCTTTCTTTTAGTTTAAGAAATGGATTATACTCTACTCGCTCTCTGTTTACTCTTTTGGTTATAGTTAAGTCTGTGGATATGTTCTAAGCGTTATTTTTCATGTTTTCCAGTACAACCGCGGAAATTTCATTTTCGGTAGGTCAGTATGATGTCGATGTTTTTCCCATAATTTGGTGTATTGTAGACCTGTTTACGGTCAAGTTTTCTGGACTTTATATATTCAATATGCCAATATAATCGACATGCATTTTCATACCTTTTTGAAAAATAACCACTTAATTTCATATTATCCTGTCGCAAGTTGTACTTGTAGTAGACTTCTATTTCCAATTCATTACAATATTCATGTTGAACTAAATGTTTTAGTTCAGAGATATCAAATTCATCTTCATTCCTGATATATTATCATCTTTGTTATCTTTTAACGTTTATAGTAAAAGATGCATCCTCGGAGAAATCCAAGACGTAACATTGTTAATGAAGCACCGACACCACCTCCTCAATTCGACGCTGCTATGTTTCAAGCGGTGGTCACGGCAGCGGATGCGGCTGCCATGTCTAATATCAATACTCTTGGTGCTAGTGGGTCAGGAGCTGGTGCACATCCTTCTAACCATGGCGAGAGTCATGGACACTCGCGAGAGTGTACTTATAAAGATTTCTCGAATGCCAAACGCACGACCTTTAACGGGACTGGAGGAGTTATGGCATTAAGACAGTGGATTGAGAAGACAGAAGCAATTTTTGAAATCTGCTCCTGTCCGGAGGGTAGCAAGGTTAAGTTCGATGTTTGTACCTTTTCGGATAGAGCCTTAACATGGTGGAATGGCCATGTTAAGTCACTGACGCTGGTAGTGGCTAACTCGGTAAGCTGGGAGAACTTAAAAACTATGCTGATGCGGGAATACTGTCTGCGAGGGGAAATTCAGAAACTCGAGCAAGAGCTCTGGGGTCTTACAATGGTTGGTTCTGACATAACAACCTATACCAATAGATTCTGTGACTTAGCAATTCTTTGTCCAGAAAGGGTTGCTCTGGAGAGCAAAAAGATCGAGAGATATATTTCGGGACTGTCGCCCCAGATTCAATCAAGTGTCTTAGCTTCAAGGCCTGTTACCTTTGACAGTGCCAAAGAGCTGGCACAATCTCTTATTGACCACGGAGCCCGTCAAAACTCAGTGGTTGTTGCACCAGAACAACCGAAGGGAAACAACAACAACAACAACAACAACAACAACAACAACAACAACAACAACAACAACAACAACAGCAAGAAGAAAGGTTGGAACAAGAGGAAGGGAAAGTCTTCACATTAATCCTCAAAGAAGCAACAACTAGTGGCAGTCAATGCTGCTACTGTACCTGCTGCTATTCCTGCTAACCCTACACCAGCTAAGCCTTATGCTGGTAATCTCCCTAAGTGCAACAAGTGCAATTTTCACCATAACGGAAATTGCCGAGAAATGCAGTGTCGTAACTGCAACAGAAAAGGTCATACTGTCCGATTCTGTAGATCACCACCTCAACCAATTAACCAAGTGCCTGCCGCTGGAGTAGGTCAAGCATGCTACCAATGCGGTGATGCGGGCATTTCAAGAGAGATTGTCCAAAAGTTGGAAATGTTGGTGGAGTTGGGAGGATTCTAGCACTGGGTCACGAAGAAGCGGTGGCAGACCCTGCGGTGGTCACGGGTACGTTTCTTCTCAACAACACTTATGCATGCATTCTATTTGATTGTGGTGCTGAGAATAGCTTTGTGAGCCATAATTTCAAACACTTGCTAAATCAAAACTCCCAACCACTAAATGAAACTTTCATAGTCGAAATGGCTAACGGGAAATCCGAATCCACCAACGATATATACATAGGATGTACTCTTACCTTGAATAACTTTTCGTTCCCAATAGACCTTATGTCGGTCTCTATCAAAAGTTTCGACATCAAAATAGGTTTGGATTGGTTGTGCTCTAATAACGCTGACATCCTATGTTATGAAAGACCCATTCGTCTGAACTTGCCAACTAATGAAACTCTTGTTATTTACGGCGACAAACCTGGAACGAACCTCCAGATCATTTCTTGCATCCAGGCACAGAAGTACCTTCGCAAAGAGTATTATGCTTTCTTAGCTCATGTGGTAGACAAAAAGCAAGAAGTGAAAGACATCGTGAGCATTCCTGAGGTCTGCAATTTTCCCGACATTTTTCCCGACGATCTTCCAGGAGTGCCTCCCGAACGAAAAGTCGAATTCAGAATCGACTTAATCCCTGGGGCTACCCCAGTAGCCAAATCCCCCTATCGTCTTGCACCTTCTGATATGCAGGAATTATCCAGCCAGCTTAACGAACTCCTTAGCAAAGGTTTCATAAGGCCAAGCTTCTCACCCTGGGGAGCACCGGTTTTGTTCGTAAAGAAGAAGGATGGATCATTCCGTATGTTCATAGACTACCGCAAGCTGAATAAACTTACCATCAAGAATCGATATCCTCTGCCTCGCATTGACGATCTGTTCGACCAACTTCAAGGTGCGAGCTACTTCTCGAAAATATACTTAAGATCCGGGTATCACCAGTTACGGATTTTGGAGGATGACATTCCCAAATCCGTGTTCAGAACTCGTTATGGTCATTATGAGTTTGTAGTGATGCCATTCGGATTGACGAATGCACCTGCGGTGTTCATGGACCTAATGAATAGAGTGTGTCATCCATTCCTGGACAAATTCGTCATAGTCTTCATCGACGACATCCTTATCTACTCAAGAAGTGAAGAGGAACATGGCCAACATCTTCGTCAAATATTGCAAACTCTTAGAATAGAGAAACTCTATGCGAAGTTTTCAAAGTGTGAATTTTGGATCAGGAAGGTTGATTTCCTAGGTCACGTGGTCAGTTCAGAAGGAATACATGTCGACCCTTCCAAAATAAAGGCAATTGAAAACTGGTCAGCACCCAAAACACCTACAGAAATCCGTCAATTCTTAGGTCTTGCTGGCTACTATCGCAGATTCATCCAAAATTTCTCTCGAATAGCTAAACCTCTTACCACCCTGACGCAAAAGGGTGTAACCTTTAGTTGGGGAGAAAAGCAAGAAACAGCGTTCCAAACGCTGAAGCGAGCTATGTGTAGTGCACCGATCCAGAGGATTCCGTAGTGTACTGTGATGCTTCTAATCAAGGGCTTGGATGTGTTCTTATGCAAAGAGGAAAGGTTATATCCTATGCCTCAAGACAGCTAAAGACACATGAAGTCAACTATACAACACATTACCTTGAACTAGGAGCAGTAGTATTTGCTCTGAAGATCTAGAGACATTACTTATATGGCACGAAATGCACAGTATTCACGGACCATAAAAGTCTCCAGCATATCTTCGATCAGAAAGAGTTGAACATGAGACAACGACGATGGGTGGAGCTACTGAACGACTACGATTATGAGATTCTTTATCACCCTGGTAAAGCTAATGTAGTAGTGGACGCCCTTAGCAGAAAAGAATACTCGGGACGCCGAGTAAAGTCGTTGACCATGACAATCCACTCACATCTGTCCACACAGATCAAAGAGGCTCAGTTCGAAACCTTAAAACCTGAAAACGTGGCAGGTGAAACCTTGAGAGGAATGGATAAAAACTTCAAAGTTAGGGATGATGGAGTTTATTGTTTCATGAACCGGATCTGGACACCAAAGTTCGGTGGTTACAGAGACATGGTTATGAATGAAGCCCACAAAACCCGATACTCCATTCATCCAGGTTCAGACAAGATGTATCTGGACCTCAAGAAACTATACTGGTGGCGTAACATGAAGGCCGAAATCGCTACCTTTGTGGGCAAGTGCCTTACTTGTGCTAAAGTCAAGGTAGAATACCAAAAACCTTCAGGTTTATTGCAACAACCTGAAATCCCTGAATGGAAGTGGGAGCGGATTACAATGGATTTCATAACTAAGTTACCCAAGACATCGGGTGGTTGTGATACTATTTGGGTAATCGTCGATAGATTAACCAAGTCCGCACACTTCTTACCAATCAAAGGGACCGACAAGATGGAGAAATTAACAAGAACTTACCTCAAGGAGATCGTTAGACTCACTACAAATAAAATGACATTTAGTGGCATATATTTTTGATGGCATATCTTTTTTATGCCACTATAATATACTTTTAGTGGCATATTTTATATGTCATTTTAAATTTAATATATTTAATGGCACTTAAAAATTTATGTTACTAATATTAAAGTTTATTAATGGCATAAAAATTTAAAATGTCACTAAAAACTTTATATTTTGTGTCATATATTTTTTATATGCCACTAAACTTTTATTGTGCAATTTTAGTAATTTGCTTTTGTGCCACTAAAAAGACTGAACTTATTCTTATCCCCTTTTCAATAATGAATCGGTGTTTATAGCTAAAAACTATATATGAACTTTAACATTTCCCTGTTTCTTATATCTGTCCCCTTTTACTTTGTAATTGGTTTTTTACCCCAATCTCGTCAATCTCTTTTCTCTCTCATACGCTCCCATACCTAACACCACCTCGATACCGCCATTGTCGCTCACTGCTTCCATCTCCGATATCACAATATCGACGCTGCTATGCTACACCACTGTGACACTATCCACAACTATACACTAGAAATTTAGGTTCCGAACAACGAATCCTCATCTATTCTCCGCTCGACTTCAATCAGGTACTCTTTTCTTCACTCTAACCATCGAAATTGATTATCTCAACCAGAAGAGAACGTTGTTTGGATGCGAGGCTTTAAAGTGAAGTGAATAATCAATATTAGATAATCAGACAATCACTTGATTAGTTCAAAAAAAAACGGAGAATTGATTCCCAGATTCACGTCTTCACTTCGAACCTTACAGGGGTGTGCTCCCTATTTTTCGTCCATGATTATCTTCGTCTCCCTTATAAATTGATTTCTTCACAACTATTGCTTCTCGATTTCATGCTTCGACATATATTCGACGAGTTTAGCGGTGATTTCTTTGAGGGTTGATTTTGCAGACCTAAATTCAAATTACTTGAATTGTATTTCTTGATCGATTTATGATCATTGGTCGATTTATTATGTTGATTTGGTCGATTTATGTATATGGCATGAGTTGATTTCTAGTTTGATGAGTCGTTAAGTCATTACCATGTGATGGAATGCAAAACAGGATGAATAATAATATAGTATTTGTGTTCCTGCTTCTTTCAGTCATGTTTGTTACTGTTGGTATCTCCATTTTCAATTTAAGGATGTTAACTGTGAGAGTATAAAGCAAAGAGTTGTTCCTAATAGCTAGTGGATAAATAAGGTCGAGTCATAGGTCGTTATGGGCCAACTGCTTCACCATTATTCATTCAGGGAACAATATTTCATGCATATTTATTCTCTATTATGCATCACATGCAATGAGTTTATTATTAAATTTAACCTGTTTGTTGCTGTTGCAGGGAGATATTCAAAAAAACATTGAATGCAGAGTGAAAAGCAGCTGAAGGAAGGGGATTTGCCTTTATAAAAACCATCTAAAAGTGTGATGGTTTAAACCCTGAACTCTCTATAAGTCCATAGTAATAACTAACATGTATGATTATTTTTACTTTCATTCTCATAGTTTTTGCTTTAATGGTGAAGATGTTATGTTGAAGTTTAAGCTTATTGTTGCATATTCAGTGGACTAACAAAACACCATGAATTCCTCATCTAATCAGTATCTCAACTCAAAGAGGGTGGATGTAGATGATCTTATACATCACTTTAGCATGTGGGGAGATTTCAAAGGCAACATCTATCAGGATGCATATGCTGCCATGATTATAGGGATGGATGCAAAGCTAGACAACCATGTAATCATTTAAAATGCTTATCTTTCTTGTTATCCTCATGATTTTTTATTGCTTTTCTGAAAAAAAAAATGTATATTGTTGTGTTTTTAGTCGGAGAATGCTTGACACACAACAATTGGACCTTCTAATCATTTCGATCAAGAAGCAAGTAAACCATGTGATAAGGTACCATTTGCGATATTAGAAGTCATGATATTCTACTTTTAGTTACCATTTTATATTTTTAGTTACAATTAATAACTAAAGTTTACTTTACAGGTTCAGTGACGTCTTGCACAAAATAGTGAAGAAACTCGTAAAAGCCATTTGCGGAAAAAGGTAGGGGATATGAAAGAGAAATCACTTTCCTTTTCAATTTAGAATTCTAAAAACTGCCTTTTATTTTAGGTTATGAAGTTTAAACTCTCATCTAGTTATACAAAAATATGCATAAAATTATCATTTTTTAGCATGCTTTCATTTAACAACTTATTATGAACCTTGCATTTTGTTATTAGGCCTATATGTTTGGTAGAAGTTAGTCATTTGAATCTGCTTCATCTTGAATAAGAACCTGAACAAACTAAGGCACAAGTAAGTTAACATTGACTTTTCATCTGTGCCTTATTTTAAGATACTTATCTTTCCATAGCTTCTTTTTGTCAATGACGTTTAATTATTAAAGAATAATTTATACAGGTTGCTTTATTGAGTGGTGGATTCAATGCTAATCATCTTGGGATCACTGGAGCTGCAAACTCAGGTCTTTTTTCTAAGAAATCATCCATAATTTCTAGTAGGTTGGAATGGTGCAAGTACCAGGAAGGACTCACAGGGACTGTTATGGAATCTGCAAACAAGGTAGTCATTTCCTCAACCTTTTAGCAATCGTTATTTGTTTGTTGTTAATATATTTTACTTATATGGCTTTGCAAATGTTTCTCCCACTGTTAGAAACTTAGGAATCTCACACATGACATAACTCATACCATTAATCTAACATTACATAGCATCCCACTTATATTCACACTTTCAATTCAATTTTTTTTTAAAAAAAAATTATCACCGTAATAACTTGAAGTTCATGTGTATCTATTATATGGTTGTAGGAAAAAAACTTTGCTTACGACACCTGTTATGTCTCAATTAGGTTGGATATATAAATCCTTCCATTTCACATTTGTGAGTGTACTCTTTTGTCCACATATTATATATATATATATATATATATATATATATATATATATTATTTTCTTTATTTTAACATTTCGATTCTTTATAAAGGGGAGAAAACTCGGTAAAGACACAATGTTGATACAATTAGGAAGCGGGTCAAAGTTTACAAGATTACATGAAGTTTGGGTCAAAGTTTACATGATTACATGAAGTTTGGGGAAGATGTTCAACTGCAATGAATTGTAAATTTTTTTTGTTACTTTTGTTTTTGTTTATTTTTTATATATATTTAATGTCTATGTGGTTCGACATTTAAACATATTTGGCATTGATGTAAACCAGTGAAATTTTTATTATTTTCTATGGATTATATTTTAATTAGCTTTTTTATTTTATATCATAGCTAAAAAGTATGTCACTATTAGTAGTATAATTCTAGAATCACATTAGTATTTAATGGCACAAAATATATGTCACAAAAACTTTTATTGTATGTGGCAACTAAAAAGTGCCACTAAAACAACATAACTTCTAAATTTGAATTAGTATTTACCGGCACAAAATATGTGCCACAAAAAAAATACTCTACCGTGACAAATAAACATATGCCACAAAAGCCTTAAAAACTGCAGCAGCAAAAGAAATAAGTGCCACTAAAGGGTTTTAGTGGGAGCATTTATAGTGGCACTTATTATGTGTGCCGCTCATTCTTTGAAAAGCCTTTAGTGGCATTTTTTGGGGTTTTTAGTGGCACTTTTTGTGTGTCACTAAATGTCATTTTATTTGTAGTGACTGCATGGTGTGCCAATATCTATTATTTCAGACCGAGATAGTAGATTCACTTCTCGTTTCTGGCAGTCTTTACAAAAATCTTTGGGAACTAGGCTGGACATGAGTACAGCCTACCATCCACAAACTGACGGACAAAGTGAAAGGACGATTCAAACTCTAGAAGATATGTTGCGAGCTTGCGTGATAGACTTTGGAAAGGCATGGGATACTCATTTTCCCCTTGTCGAATTCTCTTACAACAACAGTTATCACACTAGCATAAAGGCTGCTCCTTTCGAATCCATTTATAGCCGCAAGTACAGATCACCCCTGTGATGGGCTGAAGTGGGTGACACGTAGCTAGCTAGAGGTCAAGTTCCTGACAATACTCTTACTGGTCCGAAAATCATTCGCGAAACTACGATAAAAATCGTACAAATCTGGGAGCGACTTAAAGCTTCCAGAGATAGACAGAAAAGCTACGCTGACAAAAGAAGAAAACCTTTGGAATTCCAGGTTAGTGACCGCGTCATGTTGAAGGTCTCACCCTAGAAGGGCATGATACGCTTTGGAAAGCGTGACAAGCTGAATCCAAGGTACATAGGACCATTCGAGATTCTTGCTAGAATCGGTCCAGTAGCTTACAAACTCCGACTACCTCAAGAACTAAGTAACATACATCCTGTTTTCCACGTCACTAACTTGAAAAAGTGTTTATTAGATGAGACTCTTGTTATCCCACTCGATGAAATCGAGATAAACGAGAATCTCAACTTCGTGGAAGAACCCGTAGAGATTTTAGACAGGGAAGTAAAGAGAACCAAACAAAGCCATATCCCGATAGTGAAGGTTCGCTGGAATGCAAAACGGGGACCTGAATTTACTTGGGAACGGGAGGATCAAATGCAACAGAAATATCCACATCTTTTTCCCTAGTCTTTCTGTATCTCTTTAATCCAAATTTCGGGACGAAATTCTCTCTAACGAGGGGATAATGTAACACCTCGTGATTTTCTCTTTGTAAAGTCAACCCTAATCAACCAAAGTCAAACTTGGGTCAACTAAAGTTTTTCTTTATTGTTTTGGGGTTTTATTAAGGTTAAAATAATAACCTTTGTTTATTAAAAATCTTTAAAATAATTGTGGTTAAATTTGAAAGAGAAATGCTTAAAAACCGAGAAGTCTCGCATGCATTTCCTTCTTTTCCTTCGGACCGTACACCAACCTCGGACAGGGAACACTTCAGTCGTGAATGAGGCCATGAACGTGCGAGCCGTGAACAGGCGAGTCGTGAACTTTGGACCGTGATCAAGCTTCGGCTGTGATCAGACTTCGGGCCGCAAACTCGCAACCGTAAACGTTTCTCGGCCAACCGACTTCAGACCGTAAACGAGGTTCACGGCCGTAAACCTTCAGACCGTGAACCCTCGCACATATATATATATATATTTCCTTCATTTTTCATCACTTTTCACACTTCCAACTTAAGAACACACAAATTCTCTCTCAAGTATCATCAAGAATACTTCTAATTCTCTCCAAACTTGTAAGTGATTCTTCCATTCTTAAGTTGATATCCTTCTTGATCTAGTAAAACCCCTTGATTTCATCCGTGAATTCATCTCTTTTGGGTTAGATCTTCAAGAACACCAAGAGCACACACTAGTTCTTTAGGCTGTGAACACCCCCTTCAAGCTTCAAAACGTAAGTATCCTTTCCATATACCAGTTCTCCATTAGTGGGTTACAGTGGTTGTTTGTACTCTGATTACTATAATGCATGTGTTGTGATACTACAAATAAAGTCATCCACCCCCGGACGTTTCCGCCGTCTGGTTTGGGGGTGTGACAAAAACCAAGGCCCAAAATCACACTCTGAAGGCCCAAAAGCCCAATAATCAACCAAGGCCCAACATATGGCCTAATTTTCCAAATTGGGCCCAAAACTCTACATGGACTTATCTTAAGGCCCAACCATTTATTCTAGTCCAAACAATTGGCATTCTGATGGCCCAATACCTCATAATCATCAGGGCCCAATTATGGACCACTTATGGCCCAGTTTTCCAAATTGGGCTCATGACTTTCCAATGGGCTTTATCCTAAAGCCCAATAATTTCCTTAGTCCATAAACATGTTTCCGTTTGGCCCACGAAGGCCCACAGCAACCCAGCCCAAGAAATGGCCCAACAAGAACCCAAACCCAATTAGGGTTTTTCACATAAAATGATGATTAGGGTTAAGTGTTCCTACTTAACCCATTAAGTCCATCGCTCCACTAGTCCAAACATACAATGTGGTCGGGTGTAACTCAATTCCAAATCCAATGGTCTAAACGCGGGTCCCGACAAATCCAAAACTCGCATTCCCAAAATTAGGGTTTTCTAAACCCTAACTAGGGTTTCCAACCCAATTGTGTGCCAATTAGTCAAATGGTTAGGTTTTTAGGTTAATTAATTACTAATTAAGTTGGGCACCACCCACTACCACCTCGGGTAGTGGTGGTCAATGGCGGCTCACGGTGGTGGTGACAGATTTCCTTAATTGTTCCGGTCAAAATACAATTTTACAACGCAATATCCAAATGAACTCACACACACAAATAACATATACACACACACAGCCAGCCACCCTTGTGGCGACAGGCGGTGGTTGGAGATGGCAGCCACCACCTTACGGTGGTGGTGGTGGCTTTTCTCTTGGAATCCATTCAAGCAACACCCAAACACCACTTCAACTGAAATAGACATGCACATAGCACCATTTCACACACACACACAGCCACCTCTCACGGTGGCTGGTGGCGGAAGAAGGCGGCAGCCACCATGGCTGGCGGCCATGGTGGTTATCTTCTCAGTTTTCGGCCAACAAACGACCACACACACATGATTTATGTTTGCAAAATAAACCCAGCCACCCACCTGGTGGCGTACGGCGGCGGCAGAGACTCGGAGTGGCGGGCAGCAGCAGCGGCTATCGGTGGCAGCAACACTCCACAGCCACACGGAGCAGCAGCAACATTGGCGCATCAACAGAAAGGGGTGGAGAAGAGGAAGGTTCTCGGTCTCCAACTGGGATAACGGCAGCGACGTCCTCGGCCACACTTCTTGATGGAAACCACGACCAGAGATGACCTGCAAAAGAAACAGTCGCGATGGGCGACGGCGGTAGTGGGCGGATGTGAGTTAACGGCTGCGGGACGGAGTGGAAGTGGGAGGAGAAAGCTGCCGCAGCGGGGATTGGAGATTGCGCCTCCACCGGAACACGACAGCGGTGATAGCGACATTCAAGTGGTTGTGGTTCTCCGAAGGTCTTAGCTATCACCGGCAATAGGAACGTGTGAGGCTAGCTTCGTCGGCAGCAATGGTCCGTCGGTGACCTTGGTTGATCGGAACAACAAGAGGGGTCGTGTGGTGGCGGCTGGAAAATGGAGAAAGAAAGGTGGCGGCTGAAGTTAGAGTTAAGGTTAGGGTTACATGGTGACGGGTTTATAAGTCCCGTCCCATTCAAACATTGATCCATAATGACACTTTTAGTCCCTCATTCTCATTTTTCTTTCAAATTAAATCCAAATGTTACTAAATGGCCCCTCCTCTATAAAACCTTTTCAACTTAGGTCCAGAAATTACTCTTTAGCCTCTGCTTCCATAAATCCTTTCATATTAAGTCCAAATGATAACAAACACCCCCTGACTTCTGAAAATCTTTACAAAATAAATCTCGGAATTACACTTTAACCCCCCGAAGATTCAAATCTTGTCATTTGGCTCCCCGAAGCCAACACCCCGCTAATTATTATTTGATTTTAGCTACAATAATATAAAATAATAATAATAATTATATCTCGGGGTTCCGGGTTTATAATTTAATTACTCTATTTTAAACGGAATGTTACAACTCTCCCCCACTTAAATTGGATTTCGTCCTTGAAATCATTCCTTACCATTCCTGACACGCCAAATAACTTGAGCAACACGGCCACAACTACAAGCATACCCCAGCCTTTCCAAGGCAACCGTAACCAACCCTCACAGGGTTATGAAACCTGAAGATAAACGAATTCCTTGCAATATAATCACATTTACTCAATCCGAAATCTGAAGTCTCGAGATGGTCTAGCTCCCTGACAGACCGCCCACACTGAATCATTGTCGAATTCATTATACTTCACTCCCAACTGGCTACTTAAATTCTGATAACCTGAGGTTTCTACTAGAAGACAGATTCACAGACCAAATTTCCCTGCAGTACACTTATACTTGACAGAAAACTCATCTGGAATATCGGATTCCTTCCCGGTGGCTGAACCAACGAGCGATCTTACAGTCGCTCCACGCGACCTCCGAAGGAAACTTCGACTAGCAATAGCTGCCCTAGCTATATCACCAATCATGGCTCCATCAATATTTCCGGTCCATTCGATCATATTACCCTGACAACCTGTCGCCACTGAATCCGACTCCAAAAAGGTGAATGCTACCAGAATATATGTAGTCTTACATCATACCTGGTCTCCTTCGACCTACCGTTTCCTGACTTCAATTGTGTTGTGATCTACTCACAACCTTGCGAATTGGCCCACCCTGGCCTAAATCATCT